TTTTCTTAACATTTAGATGGCTCTGTATCAAACTCACTTTATCGCCTTGTGAAAATTTTGAATGATGACTTGAAGGAAAATGGCTTTGATTCTCTGGTTATTGTCTATTACAATTTGAGAGGCATCTCAAAATTTCACGGCTTCGAGTCACATGGTATTGTGAAGCTTAAATACACTTCTAATCGGGAATTTCATTATGCTCTTCAACAAATAATAACACCAGTAGCTTCCAGCTCAATGTCTGCCATTATTGTTAATGAAGATTATAATGAAGATGAGCAGTTTGAATTCTCTGATGAGACCCAAGAACCAGCTACAGAAATCCAAACATGGTTTCAGCAGATCCATAATTCTCCCCAAGCCAATGAAGCTGCTACAAAAATCCAAAACTGGATTCATAAGACTCTTGATCGAAAGAAATCCCGTCAACTTCATCATGATCCATTGCTAGAAAAGACTTATAATGAAGTAACAATTTTTTGCCAGAATTCATTGAGACATAAAAGGCGCAAGTATATTATCCTCTTGAGAGGACCAACAGTAGATGTGATTGTGAAGCTAAATAAACTGCAGAGCAGAATGGATGTAACCAAAGGAAACTTGAATAAAACAATTAATAATCGCTCTATTGATATGGACAAAGTTGAAGAATGTGTTGAACTGCTGGAGGATCTTAAGTAATGTTGACACCATTTTAATGCTTCTTTAATGATTTCTTTTCTATTATTAAAATTTGTGTTTTTAGGTACATCCATTATGAGAATGTTAAGCTAACATTGGGCTCATTGTCAACAACTGAGAATGTAATGGAACACATGCGAGAAAACATTGAATGGTTGAAAAATAAAATACAAGAGGCACATGAAATAATTAACCAGGTTTATGGATGGCTTGATAAGTGCAAGTATGTAATGAAATCTGGGTGATTATAAATTTTGATTGGTTTCTATTTTTCTTTTATTTTTCAGAATTTATAAATATTAGAATTTCAAGCAATTTTTATTAGTATAGCAGATAAGGTAAATTTTTTATTAATTGGTATACTTTTCAGTAAAGGCATAGGCGTAAATTAGGTCCTTTGTAATAAATATTTAGAGTATCAGATTTTATTAGTAATAAAAAATGGTTGAAATTCAGTTACTTTTTTGTATTAAAAAAAATCACCATAATGAAAGTGTCAATATTGTTTAATTCATGCCATATGATTTTATTTGTTGAACAATTTTTTGAACTTATTGATTGGCAAAACACAAATTCATATAAGAATTTTTATTATTCTCACCCAAAGTTTTGGATACATGGATAATGACAATTATAATATTAATTAGAACCAATTTATATATTTGTAAAGATATGGGTATAAACCTGGTTTGGATAAAATTGAAAATCTTGGGTATGGGTTCAATTATTACTCTAGATTATTAAAACTTGATCATTGTTATTGTTATTATAAGCTAATTATTTTTATTATAAGCAAAATGAACATGTCAAATCTTAGATTGGACTTTTGAATTGGTTTTTAGTTTTTTTTAGACATTCAGAAATGAAATTGCTCTTGTCTAGATTGATTTGTTCTAAATTATCATTGAAAAAGATTTGCCCGTCTTTTTCTTCACGCTTTTCATCATATATTAATGGTTGAAGAGCCTCAAAATTCAAATCATGTTTGGACCAAAGGATCTGCTTGAGAATTTGTTTATTATTACTCATTGTATATTTACTTTTTGATTCATTTGTTGTCTCTGTAAGACCTTAAAATCATTTGGTGTGTGTTACGCATTCCTTTGAATTTTTGTTTATTTCTTTGTGACTCCTCAAAATATTTTTCATGCACCAATTCTAATTTTCTTTTACGTGAATTTTCCAAATACTGTCTGTACTCTCAGTACACACTCAAACGATATATTCTTTTTAAAAACCAAAATGTTTGTAGAGGTTGGAATCGACCAAAAAATCCTTAGTCAAAAATTTCTTTAGTCGACTAATTAGTCGACTAAATTTTTTTTTTATAATTATTATTATAATAATAATATTTCGTTTTTTTTTTTATTGATTTGCATTTGAATCTTTCACTTTTTCAAAATGCTTCCACACAAAACTATGTGTTACGATTTGTTTTTTAAAGATCTTCTGGAACCACCGCTTAAATCATTGGAACTTGAAGCCAATGAACTATTGGACCTTGTATTGGAAGTGTTTATTCATTCGCATGTAAGATTATCATCAACAACACCACTACTATTGTCGTCATAATCATATTGATGGTATTGATACTCTTCCGCATAGAAATTTTCCATTTTGAATGATAAAACACAAAAATCGTAATTGGTCAGACAATAATAATATTAACATAAGTATTAGTATTAGTATTAGTAGTATTAGTAGCCGACTAAATAATCGATTAAAATAGTCGACTATTTTAGCCGATTACAGCCTCTAATACTAATGAAAGTCTGATTAATGTGCAAATTAAATATTATTGTCTTTGATAATCTTTTTAGCGTTTTTGATTAAATCAACATAACTAAAGTTATCATTGGTATTAGCATTAAATGATGATTATATTGGCATCGGTTAAACGATTAAAAAAATATAACGTCATCCTTTTTATCGATATATCTTTTTTTTACACTATAATTAATTATGAATCACTACATTGTTGATAACTGGTTTGTTTAAAAACGAATTTAGGAAACCTTTTCATCATTAATTATTTCATTTGGAAAACCCGAATTTAAGAAACTCTCTTGTCATTGATTGTTTTTTGTTTTAATAAAATTTCTTTTTAATAAAAAATGTTTTATGATTGGAAAAGTTTTAACATTGGATCGGAACTATTCCGAAGAAATATTTTTTAACAATCCGATTGATTGGCTAATTTAATATCTCTCCTCTTGATAGTTTTTTGAATATATAAAAATGTCATAAATCTTTTGTGCCAAAATGGTCTGAAAGATAAAATTCATTACACATGAAATGAAACATGAACAAAATAATATTATGCAATGAAAAAATTGTTTGACAGTAATTAGTAATAGATTTCAATATTAATTAATATATTAATTAATATGTAGTAAGTAGATCAATCACGTTTGAACAATTCCACATTTGTTCTGAAGATCATTCTTTAATTAGCAACAATGACACCTGCCGGTCCCTTCCAAATATTAACACCATTTTATATGATCTGTTTTTTCCCACCTTCTCTTTCCTTTTTTTCTCGATAATATATTATTTGCTTCACTAGTTTTACTTTGTTGTAAATAAAATTATTATTTTCTCCGGCTTTTGTTTTATTTTATTTCTGATTAAAAGAATTGACTTTTAACTTCTAGTGGTATATACAACTTGTAACTATATATATACTCATAATATCGGAAAAGCAAAAATGAACGAAGGAATTTTTCGCCTGCCGTTTGAAATCAATGATGATGAACTTGGTCCATGGGATGTTCTGCTTAGTGATTACGCGATCAGAGATATGCGAAGGTTGGAACCTCTTGCGATTAAAGCAGTTATGGTAAAACTCATGCAGATATCAAGTGGGAAATGGAAAAAGTACAGGCTCCAACATACAGTACAATCTCACTCTCACGCCGTACCCATTTATGAGACAGAGCTTCTAAATGATGATGGATTGAAAATTCTCTGGCAGGTTGATTATGGATTTTCTGTTCGTAACAATTCATTCATCCAGTATGTGGATGTTTGGGCAGCCACTGCAGACCAAAAGCAATTTACAGATACATTAGAAAATACCGAATTACTTCATCAGGCCTACACTTCTGAGCATAAAAACCGCTGTACAGTTCAACATATCAGCAAAGATGGTATCATTTTACCTGCAGCCTTTGGAGGTGGGGAAGTAACAAAGTCTGACGAGAGCAGATTGGATAGTGACCAAATCGATGATGAAGAAAAATTGTTGAAGATTCATGAAATGCTTACCACAAATAAATTTGTCCCATTATCAAAGGTAGGGAGTATGAATATGAATAGATCATTATTATCTAAAGATTTAGACAAATTTATCAGATGTTAAACAATCTTGCTTGCAGAACTTGTTTAAGTCGCTCGTCAAAGGTGGCACTGACTTTACTTTTCAAGTATCTAAGCTCGAATACGAAATTATCAACCATCCTAGATCAGCGATTGTTGTTGGTCGTTCTGGTTAGTGTTAATGTTAGTAATCTGGTTACATCCTTATAATTGAGGAAAAAATGACATTGTTTGTTCTATTTGATACTTAGGAACTGGCAAAACCACATGTATTTTGTTTAGACTCCTTGCATCATACTTGAAAAATCAATTCAATAGGATACCAAATGACAATGATGAGAATTCTCATAAAAGGCAAATATTCATTACATTGAGTGAACACCTTTGCTGCAGAGTAAAGGATCATTTCAACAAACTGCGAGAGTCTGCAGAATTTGCTGATGAAAGGATGACTATGGCTCAATTTCATGAGTATTTAAGTAGAAAAGGAGATGAAGATGGTAATATTGATATGACAAATGATACGAAGCTTGAAGAGGAAGATATGCTGGATGACATTCCAAACTCATTCCGTCAACTGACAGACGACCATTTCCCATTGATGATTACCTATAAAAAGTTTATCAAGATGCTCCAGGGAACTTATCGTATTGATTTTCAGAATCCAGCCAAACAACCAAAATTTGATGCAAATGGTGGTGATGATGATGATGAGGTGGTGGTGGAGGAATTAAGCCAACAAGACTTTATCAGTAGTGTATCAGATGCATCATGGAGACACTTTGTAGACTATAAACTCTTTGTAGATAAATATCGTACTAATTATAATAGGAATAAATCTGGGCTGATATTCTCCGAGTTTTCTATTATCAAGGTATGTAACAATATGTAAAATCCTTACATCTACATCATGAAGTTGATTTAACAATTATATAGAATTACAGTTATTTTGATTTTGTTAGTTTAAATTTATTGTTGTAATTTAACTGTAATCTTACGCAGGGTTGTAAGATTGATACCATTAGTTAACTGTTAAATTATGGCAGGAAAGTTTCATGATGCATATAATATTCTATTTCAAAATTTAACCCTGTTTTTCTTAAGGGTTCTAACCCAGAGGGTAAACACCTATCAAGAGAGGAATATCGGGAAATCAGCATCAGGAAATACCCAGCATTTTGTTACAATCGTGATGAAATTTATGACTTATTTCAACAATATCAAAAGAAAAAATCCCGAAATTTTGACTATGACTCAATAGATATGTAAGTAGTCTCAGATAATACATAATTTTTTATTTTTTATAAAAATTCTCAGACCTTTTCTTTTCTTTTAGGGCTATTGCTGTTTTACGTTGCGCCAAAAAAGAACCACTTGGTGGATTGCATATTCATGAACTATACATTGACGAATGTCAGGACAACAACATGGTAGATTTATCACTTATTTTAAAACTTTTTGAGCGTGCTGACAGCATTTTTTTGGCTGGAGATATAGCACAATGTATTGCAAGGGGCTCATCTTTCCGATTTGAAGGTAAGGATGGTTATAATTAATTAATTATCTACACATTGCCCCTTTTTTAATAACCAATTGTAATGGCAATGGTTTAATCTTAATATAGATCTGGGGGCTTTGTTGTATAATTGGGAACTTGGTCGATCTAATGTTATCCACAATAAGCCTAGCAACAAAAAACAAAAAAAACCAAAACAACCAGAACGATTTGTAATGAATATTAACTATCGTTCACACAATGGAATCCTTAAACTTGCTTCATCAGTGATTGATCTTATCTCTCGCTTTTTTCCTGATTCCATTGACCAGCTGCCACATGAATCTGGCGAAGTTGGTGGTCCTCAACCTATTGTTATCCACAATATTGAGGCTGAACCATTCTTATCTCATGTCTTTTCTGTGTCTAAAAATGTGGCAAATAATATCGAATTTGGCGCTGAGCAGGTTATTATTGTACGTGATGATGAAACTAGGCAGCGAGTGACGAAAATAATTGGTGATGATGGTGTTGTATTAGTGTTGACAGTGTTTGAGTCCAAGGGCATGGAGTTTAACGATGTGGTGTTGTATAATTTTTTCACCGAGTCACCTGCACAATTAGAGGTAAAATATTATGTATGCTGTTTTAGATCACACCTTATTAGTCACTTAGTAATTCTTGAATCATATGTGTAAACATTCAGTGGCGAGCAATCCATCATGATTTTGACGATCATTCAAAAGGAGTTCAACCCTTTTCTCATGAAAAACATTACATTCTTTCCTCGGAGCTCAAGCATCTTTATGTTGCAGTGACAAGAGCACGGCAGAAAATTTGGATATATGATGAAAACTCTGAATGCAGTGGGCCAATTCGTAAATATTGGAAGCACCATGAGCTGGTCAAAATAATTGATAATATTAAAGACTTGCCTTCCTTGGCTAAGAAAAGCAATTCATATGAATGGGATCGAATGGGAAAGGGTTTTTTTGGACAAAAGCAATACGAACAGGTAAAAATCAAATTTGAAATATTCTATATATCATAAAATAAAATGAGTTAACTAAATCGAACCAAATCACCTTTAGGCCATTTTCTGCTTTAAGAAAAGCGGAAACAAAGAGAACCGCAAACTAGCAAAAGCATATCATCTTCGGCAGATTGCCAGGACTTCTATATATGGTTCTGATGAAGCCACTGTGAATCGCAATTTCAATTGTGCTGGTAAGGCTTTCAGGAACTGTTTACGACCGGTTCAGGCAGCTTCATGCTATCAGGTAAAGTTTTTGTTTTTTCTTGACATTTTCAAAATGGATGGCACTGAATAGTCACCTTAAATTATTGATTACATCTTTCTAAATAATAATTCATAATTTGATACTTAAAAACATAGGATATAAATATGCATGAAAAAGCTGGTGATGTTTATGAAGAGTTTGATATGTTCGAGTTTGCTGCTAATTGTTACCTTAAAGCCAAAAAATGGGACAAAGCGGGTAATAATTTTCAAAAGGCAGAGAAGTATACTGAAGCTGTTAATGCCTATAAAAATGGTAAACTTTATGAAAAAGTAATCGATTTGATGCAAAGGTAAGCTCATTATTGTGATATCCTAAACAATTTGATGCAGGATTAATAGAGATTTTAGATTTCGATCAAGATTGATTTTAGTAAAGAATATTTTCATAGCAATAATCATGTAGTTATCTGCAAAAAAAGTCTGCAGTTGCAATTTTATTGGTAAGTAGGTTGGGTTAGACATATCCAGAAATCAATTGATGATTGCAGATTTTTTGCAGATAACTCATACAGTCAAACCTTGTCATGGCGGACCCTTCCACAGCAGACTATAATTAAATTCTTGTCATAACGAATTTTAAATAAAATTTTCTTATATGTCCTGTTCATCCACTGTGACAAGGTTTTACTGTAGTAGCATTAGATCCTGCCATTTTTAATTAATGGTTCATTAAATTGTTGAAAAAAAAATTAAGTGCAGCATCAGAAAAAATTTTTAATTAATTTTTATGCAGTATTTACTGAGGAACATGATGATCTGACACTTGTCCAAATTATTTTAACAAGATACAAACAAGGAATTGATGAGAAGACATTTAACCGCATTTCCCGTCTTGTCAACATTCATTATCGTCGGGAAAATGACAAAGAGATGAGTGAAAAGGCTCTTGATATTCTTCCTACGGAAGAGGAAAGAATGGAGCTTCTACGAGACCATGCACCAGAAGAGCTTTTGAAAGTTTATGAGAAGAGTGGTCAGTATTTCTCTGTTGTTAAAGAACTATGCTCACGTGGAAAGTTTGAAGAAGCAGCTGATAAGATCATCAGCTTGAAAGATATCAACTCAAAAGACACCATTGAGGCATTAAAGCATTTCTTACCCCTATTTAGGGTTAATATAATAAAAGATACAATGACAAATTCAAATTCCAATCATGAAGTGAATAAGCTCCTTGCCAAGGCAAGTGATTTTGTCAAAAAATTCAAATCACAATCATTGAAAAAACCTGAGGAGTGGAGAAGTTTTATGAAGGAGTTTCAATTATACTCTGCTTA